CCTGGCTCAGAATTGGTTACTTTGGTACTTCTTACGAAAACCGGTGTGTCAACATGATATGACCGTATAATAATAATAATAATAATAATAATAATGATAATAATAATAATAATAAATTGTTATTAAAGACCACAAACAAAAACAGTGCCTCCTTATTGATATGGCAGTCCCTGCTGACTGCAATGTATCTTTGAAGATATTCAAAAAGCTGTCAAAATACAAGGACCTTGAAATAGAAATCTCGAAAATGTGGCATATGGGAACATCAACAATCCCTGTTGTAGTTGGAGCCCTAGGATTAGTTGGAAAAGATTGCAGTAGACTAATTGAAGTGATTCCCGGAAGTCCATGCCTCAAGGAAATACAACAAAATTTTCTGACAAATACAGCCCACACTTTACGAAGGGCTTTATCTATGTAAATTTTTTTTTTCTTTTTTTGTCAGTGGAAAGTGTCATGATGCTATTTCTAACCTTAGGTCCCTGGGCGGGACCCGGAAAGAAATGTGTAAACGCCAGAAATCAAAGAAAATAATAATAATAATAATAATAATAATAATAATTACGAATATCTGCCGGAATATAAAGGTGAGTGTTGTTGTAATTTCAGTAACTTTTTATCCAGTTACAACTGGCAGGTTTTCTCCAATTGCAAATAATAATAATAATAATAATAATAATAATAATAATTAGAAGAGGAAAGTATAACATTCAGAATGCTTGAAAAGGACTAGCAAACAAAGTAATTGTAGTACCAGTGATCAATGGAAAACTGTGGTGTGGTTCAGAACATATCGAAAAAAGCTTACAAATATTGGATATAGTCAATTATGTGACATGCATGATACACGCTTAGGCGATCATATATCTTTGGATACATGACTGACGAGGCAGATTTATTTTTTCCCGTAGTGAGTTGCCATTTTTTTCTGCGGTAGACCATTTGCCATCGAGTTGTCCTGCTATTTACCCTTAGTTGGAGGGGGCGGAGATGAACAGGGTATTAGCACGTAAGTGAAGGTAATGGATCTGATTGGAATTCGAACTCGGCTCTCCAATTCCTCAGTCCGAGCCGCTATCAATAACTCCACTCATGGAGATAGAGTCGTTCCAAAAAACTTTTCTGTTCAGAAATGGCGTGTACTCTTCAAAAATTATAATATATATGCAGTCGGTAAAAAGAATGTAGATTTTCTTTAGTCATTTGAGGTGAGCTGAAAATGAACTTCATACCAGGAAACCAAAATAATAATAATAATAATAATAATAATAAAAATAATAATAATAATAATAATAATAAATAGGGATTGGGAATACAAAGAGACATTAAGACTTTATTTGACATAACAGCACTGGGGTTTACGAATACACAATATATATGTGTGTGAGCTCTGAGGATTTTTCTGTCTCTTAGCCCCTAGCAGTAACCACCAATCTTAGGTTCTGTTAAAAGATGCCAGACAATAACAAAGAAAAAATTGGGGACCCGATTAAGTGTTGAAATCATCCAAATAATTGCATTAGCAAAATCAGATGGATATTTAGGAAAATCCGAGAGGATCGGAGAGATTTTCTGCCACTTGATATCTGGGGAAAAAACCCAGAAATAATAATAATGATAATTTATCATAAAAAAAACTATCATGCGTGTCTGCTGATAGATGCCACATGTCCTGATGATCAATATTTGCAGGTAAATTAGAAAGATTTTTAACTATGGAGATGTGAGGATGGTTGTTAAGAGTATGGGAAATGTATGTTAATTTTGTGCCTGTCACTTTGAAGCGTTGGTTCGATACCAAATTATTCCCAGAAACACTTTGATATTTTCTGAATCTCACCCCGCAGAATAACGTCGCAAAAAAATTTAAAAAATCTTAGGGAGAGCAAATATGTGGCCGAGAGTATTTGATGACAGAGAGTCAAATAGATTTACTTCCGGTTTCTGTACAACTCTCAAGATAATAAAACTGATCCAGATTAGATGAATTCGAAATTCGAGGCAAAAAACTGAAATCGAACTAATAATAATAATAATAATAATAATAATAATAATAATAATAATCTATGTAAAATGAGTGTGATGTTAGTTTTTTTTTGTTTTTTTTTTACTTATTTTTAATGCCCAGTGAAAAATGTCATGATTCCATTTCTGACCTTACATCTCTGGTTGGGACCCATAATGAAATGAATATTCAACAGAAATCAAAGAAAATAAAACGATATTAATAGCAACAACGACAACAATACAAATCTGAAAATGCGACGGCTTTGCTGACACTAGGTGTACAGATTACTTAAGAAATGATAATAATAATAATAATAATAATAATAATAATAAAAATAATAATAATAATAATTGAGTCTTGGGAATTATATCAGAATGAGTAAATAAATATGTCGAGCAAATTGACAAAAAATAAAGTATATGAGTTGCAAACAAATCATAGTTATAGGTACTTCTCATAATTTACCTAGATTTCTACTCCATGCATTGACCGCAATTATATTTTTTTTATCTCTTTGATTGAATGACACCTCATCTGTTTGCATCTTCTGATACAAAAAAAAAAACAAAAAAAAACTTGTCTCTTGAAGTTTCTACTTGAGACTTGAAAGCAACGTTTTATACAAATCAAAGGCAGACACAACAACAATAACAACAGCAACAATAACAACAAAAACAACAATAATAATAATAATAATAATAATAATAATAATGATCATGATGATGCAGCAACACTTTTTTCTGTTTTGATGGAGATGATGATGAGTTGGGATGTGAGAAGAAAAATCACTTTCTATAAGACTTCACCATAATTGTCATGCTTGGCTAAGTCAAGCATTCAACAATGTCAAAAATTGAAATATATACGCATCATAAAATAGTTGACAAAAAGAGAAATTGTAATAAGCTCATCCCATTCTCGTGTAGTGGTAGAGGGTTGTGTGCGTTTTCTTCCTTTTTTGTAGTATAATATATAGATTCATACATAATATATAAATCGACAAAATTGATGAAGGATATATGATATTCACTGGCACACATCAATATAAATTTGACACATGACATACATTCACACACACTTATATACACGGATATATATATATATATAAATATATATATATATATATATATATATATATATATATATATATATATATATATATATATATATATATTGTTAAAGTAATTTAGATATCAAGTGATGGAAAATCTACGGACTTCGTTAGATAGATAGATAGATAGATAGATAGATAGATAGATAGATAGATAGATAGATAGATAGATAGATAGATTAGAGAAGTAAGAACGAGACAGCGTAAGACACTAAGGTGGAAATCTGCGCGCGATCGAGAGGGAGAGGGCAGAAAGTAAAATATACTCTGAAATACAAAGAAAGAAAGAAAGAAAGAAAGAAAGAAAGAAAGAAAGAAAGAAAGAAAAGAAAAGAAAGGAAGGAAGAAAGAAAAGATCTGGTAAACATTAAATAATTGTTAACAAAGGAAGCAAACACAAATGTTTTGAAAAAAGGAATGAAATAATTAAAAACAGTCGTTTAAAAGAAAGAAAGAATAAAAATCAATAAAAAAAGAAAGAAAGAAAGAAAGAAAGAATAAAAATAGATAAAGAAAGAAAGAATAAAAATAAATAAAGGAAGAAAGAAAGAAAAAAGAAAGAAAGAATAAAAATCAATAAAAAAGAAAGAAAGAAAGAAAGAAAGAAAGAATAAAAATAGATAAAGAAAGAAAGAATAAAAATAAATAAAGGAAGAAAGAAAGAAAGAAAGAATAAAAATCAATAAAAAAAAAGAAAGAAAGAAAGAAAGAAAGAATAAAAATAGATAAAGAAAGAAAGAAAAAAAAATAAATAAAGGAAGAAAGAAAGAAAGAAAGAAATAATAAAAATCAATAAAAAAGAAAGAAAGAAAGAAAGAAAGTATAAAAATAGATAAAGAAAGAAAGAATAAAAATAAATAAAGGAAGAAAGAAAGAAGGAAAGAATAAAAATCAATAAAAAAGAAAGAAAGAAAGAATAAAAATAGATAAAGAAAGAAAGAATAAAAATAAATAAAGGAAGAAAGAAAGAAAGAAAGAATAAAAATCAATAAAAAAGAAAGAATAAAAATAGATAAAGAAAGAAAGAATAAAAATAAATAAAGGAAGAAAGAAAGAAAGAATAAAAATCAATAAAAAAGAAAGAAAGAAAAGAAAAAGAAAAAAATAGAAAGAAAGAAAGAAGAAAAAATAAATAAAGGAAGAAAGAAAGAAAGAAAGAATAAAAATCAATAAAAAAGAAAGAAAGAAAGAAAGAAAGAAAGAATAAAAATAGATAAAGAAAGAAAGAATAAAAATAAATAAAGGAAGAAAGAAAGAAAGAAAGAATAAAAATCAATAAAAAAGAAAGAAAGAAAGAAAGAAAGAATAAAAATAGATAAAGAAAGAAAGAATAAAAATAGATAAAGAAAGAAAGAATAAAAATAAATAAATAAATAAATAAAGAAAGAAAGAAAGAAAGAAAGAAAGAAAGAAAGAAAGAAAAGAAAGAAAGAAAGAAAAATATAATTTGGGACTGAAAAGAAAAAATACAGAAAAAGAGACAATGATGAAGAAGGAAGTGTTAGGAAGAAGAAGAAAAAAAAAATAGAAAGAGAAAGGGAAGGAAATTATTTCAGATTATCACATATTTTAAACCTTCTTTATTTGAGTGATACCCAGGAAGGCAAATGTTCGCGACATACTCATCTCCAAATTTATTTTAACGTTAACTATTCTCTTTTAAAACGCTAGAAGAATGTTTTGTTTCAATTCTTACAACTGATTTTAAACCTATTCTTTATTTCCATTTCAAATGTTATAATGCCTATTTTTCTTACAATTTTATTCTTCTTTTTTGTATGTCATACCCGTTTTTATCCATCTGTTTTTTCCATCTTTATAACTATCATTTTTTTTTTCACTGGTTATTTTTGTTAAATTTCACCGATTAAATCTAATTTGATGTTACTTCAAGTCTTTTTTATTGTTTGGTTTTTGCCTTTATTTTTATTCATTTTTACATTCATTTTTGACTTCTTTTTTTCATGGTCTTATAATTGCTTTTTTTTTTTCTTCTCTCTTTTTCCCTTCCCAATTGCTTTCTGTTTAGTTACTTTCATGCATTCACTACATTTTCCACTTTCATTTTTTCTTCTTTTGTTTTTTCTTAAAATTTCAATTCGTTTTTTCTTTCCTCTTTCTTTTTCTTCACATTCTTTTCAGATTTCTCCTTTTTTCCATTCGTATTATTCTATAAACAGTTTCTTCCTTTGCAATTTCGTTTGGTTTATTTTTTTCGTTCTTAAAATTGTTTCTTTTTTCTTCCCGCTCATTTTTTTTATTTTTATTCTCTTTTCTTCTTTTTTCTTTTCTCGTTCTTTCATATTCTGTTCTTTTTCTCCTTTTCTTTCGTCGATTTCCCTTAACTTTTCCTCGCTATATTCAGCCGTTTTTCTTCTTTTATCCTGTCTCTTGTTCTTCCTTCTCTTTTGTCTTATTTCTTTCTTTCTTTTTTCTTCTCGTGATTTTTTTTCCTCTTGCCCAGCGTTTTCATTTTTCGTTTCTATCTTCATTTTTTTTGCTTTGCTTTTTTTTTTTTTTTTAATCGCAATCTCTCTCTGTCTACACTTTTTCTTTCTTTATTATAACTTCCGCTCTTTCTTCTTGTTCATCTTCTTATTTTTCCTCTTCTTTGCAATCTCCTTGCCTTTATTGTATTTCTTTTTCTTTCTCTTTCGAATTTTTAATCGCTAACTCCCCTTCTCTTTTCTCTTTCTCTCTTCATTACTAGCGTTTTCTCTTCCTTTTTTCCTCTTTCTTCATCGCTAACTGCTTCTCTTTTTCCTTTGTTCCATATCGCTCTTTGACTGTATTTTATTCTACTCCGTTATATTTTCTGTCATCATTCTTACTGATTCATCTTTTCCTCTCCCATTCTTTATCTTGCTTTTCTTCCTCTTTTTTCTCCACTCCTTTTTCTTTTACAATGCAATTTGCTCATCTTTCTTTCACTTTCATTTAGATTGAAAATATAATTTAATATATATATATATATTGCTAAATATACACTTTTGTTGATATTATCTTCTTTCAGTCTGTCTCTTGTTCTTCCTACTCTTTTGTCTTTCTTTCTTTCTTTCTTTCTTTTTTCTTCTCGTGATTTTTTTCCCCTTGCTCTGCGTTTTCATTTTTCGTTTCTATCTGTCATTTTTTTGCTTTGCTTTTGGCTTTTCATAAATTTCCTTTCGCGGCCAACGATTTATATTTTCCCTCAGACATATTCTCAGTTTTATTTTCTCTTAACTTTCCTATATCGTGTTTGTTCTATTTTTTTCTTCTTTTTCCTGTCCCTTCTTTTTAACTTATCTGTCATCTTCTCTCTCTCCCCCTCAATCTCTCTCTCTCTTTTATTGCCTTCCTTCCTCGTCACCTGCTTCTTATTAGCCTCACCTTTCCCTCTTCTCTCTTTCCTCTTTTACTCCGCTTCCTCCATCTTACTTTCCTTAAGTTATCTAACAGATTATTTTAAGCCTTTTCCTCTTTTGAATCTCTTCTAATTTCTCCTCCTGTGGTATTTTTATCTTTGATTGACTACTCATCTTTATTTTTCTTCATTTTTCTTTCACTCCTACACTATCTTCTTGCTCTTAACTTATCACTGTCTTCCCTTTTAATTTACTTTACTTTTTCGCTCTTTCAACATCGCTATCTCGCTCTCTGCATATCCTTTTTCCTTCATCACTAACGTTTCCTGTTTCTTCTTCCACTTTCTTCATCACTAACTCTCTCTATTTCCTCTTCCACTTTCTTCATCACTAACGCTCTCTTTTTCTTCTTCCTTTTTCTTCATTACTATCGTCCTCTGTAGTCTCTTTCTTTCTTTATCGCTAACCGCCTCTCTTTTTTTATCCCTCTTTCTTCATCACTGTCTCGTTCACTCTCTTCTTCTATTCTTATTTTCTCTTTCACGCTATTTCAATTGTTCCTTTCTTCATCGCTATCATCTACTCTTTCTTTTCCCTTTTTCATTACTCCCTTTCCTTCTTTCTCTTTCTTCGTCGCTAGCGCCCTTTTGTTGTCTTTATGTCTTTATTTATCGCTACCTCCATTGTATTCTCTCTTTTTCTTCCTCGCAAACTGTCTATGATTTTCTTTTTTTCATCGTAATCTCCATTCCTTTCTTTCTTACTCATTAAGTCTTTCTCTTTCTTTATCGCAATCTCTCTCTCTCTCTCTCTCTCTGTCTACACTTTTTCTTTCTTTATTATAACTTCCGCTCTTTCTTCTTGTTCATCTTCTTATTTTTCTTCTTCTTTGCAATCTCCTTCCTTTTATTTTCTTTATCTTGCTCTTTCGAATTTTTAATCGCTATTTCCCCTTCTCTTTTCTCTTTCTCTCTTCATTACTAGCGTTTTCTCTTCCATTTTTTCCTCTTTCTTCATCGCTAACTGCTTCTCTTTTTCCTTTGTCCCATATCGCTCTTTGACTGTATTTTATTCTACTCCGTTATTTTTTTCTATGTCATCATTCTTACTGATTCATCTTTTCCTCTCCCATTCTTTATCTTGCTTTTCTTCCCCTTTTTTTCTCCGCTCTTTTTTCCTTTACAATGCAATCTGCTCATCTTTCTTCCACTCTCATTTAGACTGAAAATATAATTTAAAATATATATATTGCTAAATATACACATTTGTTGATATTAACTTTTCTTTATGCAGCCACACACAAAAAAAAAAACAACAATAAAAAACATTTAGTTTATGGAATACTGCTCACACTATTTACCTTTAGCGACAGTGCCTCTTACCTCAACTTCCGGTCGTTCAGATTTCTTCCAGCGTTTCACCAGACCGAACCCGGTAGCCTCCAACATTTTTACCTTAATTTTTATTTTTTCCTTACGTTTCACTACTTGACTGGACAGCTTCACTCGTTTGTTCAAATATCCGTGTTCTTGGTCATGACCGAGAAAAAATTATGTGCAAAAAAAAAAAAAAAAAAAAGAAAATAAAGGAAAAGTTCTTTATTAACATAAAAGGAAATTGTAAAATAATTTAGAAGCAGAAAATCTGTCGTTTTTTACATTAATTTTGAGATTCAAAAAGAAAGAAATTTTTTTTTTTTAGCTAGTTCATCACCAGACCTTCGCAACCGAGGGATATATATATATATATATATATATATATATATATATATATATATATATATATATATATATATATATATATATGCAATTTTGAAAGAATAAAAACGGATCTCGTGGAGGGAGCGCGTATTTTTCATAATCAAAAGCGAAGGAAATAAATAGTCAATGGGACGGACTTCCATTAGGCTGGTCATTTCGGACGTTGTTGCAATCACCGAGTTAGTGCTTGGCAGGAAAATGCAACAAATATCTACGGGAAGACACTTCAGCACACACACACACACACACACACACACACACACACACACACACACACTGATTCACTAACGGAAGCATTTACACGCAAACAAAAACTGTCAATGAAATTGCTTTCTCTATGTACATGTATACACATCCGTGCAAATGAATATATTATCCTTAATATCATAATTTTGAGAAAAATAAAGGAACAGCATTAATCCAATATTGAACTATTTTTTTATTTAATAAAAACATTTCCTATTATAGAACTTCAAAAATGCATATGTTTGACATATATCAGTTTTTATGCTTACAAATATATATATATATACATATATATATATAATTTGTGTATTAAGACAGCAAATACTCTTTTAGGCATGTCTGATGGAATAAATTATTACAGACATTATTTAATTAATATTAATTTTTAACAAAATCCGTTCATACTCACGAATAAACTTCCGTGTAATGATGTTAAAGGATGAGAGAAATGTGGTATAACTGCTTAAATTTCTTTTAGTTTCATTTCCCAAGTACATTCGATCTTCTTCCAATAGTTGGACTAATGAACAGCATATAGATTTGTACTACTTGCACCCCTGAAGATGATCCTGGAAGAAGATCGAAAGGACTTGGGAAATGAAAATAAAAGAAATTTTAACAGCTATAGCACATTCTTGTTATCCTTTAACATCAATACACGGAATGTTATTCGTGAGTATGAAGGGATTTGTTAAAAAAAAATACTAGACATAATGTCTGTAATTTATACAATCAGACATGCCTATATATATATATATATATATATATATATATATATATATATATATATATATATATATATATATATATATATATACAGACACATTTATTGCGAAATCATGAGTGCGCCAGTGATTACAATAACATTTCTTTTCTATCTTACGTAAATCTCGCTCAGTCTACTATCTGGAGGTGGTTTACATTAAATTTCATCAGCCAAACCGATGTAAGCAAAAGAAACTCTTTATTGGTAACTTAAGTTTGATCGAGTGAATATGAGTAAAATTTTTCTATTATATCCTGATTTTGGAACCTTTTATTTTGTTTTTAGTTCTCAATTTGTTTACAATTAAAATCTGTTTTAATTGTGTTCCAATTTTCCCCTCCTCATTCAATATTTAAAAGTGTGTCATTGATTATTTTAGTCTATCGTTCACCTTTTGATAAAGTGTTATCCGAAAGCGTCTCCTCAAAGTAAATTGTCGTCCTCTCTATTTATCTCTATTTTTAATATATATATATATATATATATATATATATATATATATATATATATATATATATAACAATAGGAAAACTGTAGTTATTGGCGACGCGTTTCGAAACGCGTCAGCAATAACTAGTTTTCCTATTGTCATTTATATTTATAAATATTGTCTTTTCTACAGGTTAACTCTGAGAAATTTTCACACACACACACACACACATATATATATATTCATGAATTATTCATACAAATACAAAGGTTAATGATTAATTGGCAAGAAATCCTTCGTCGCAAACAATTCAAATAATATACAAAAACCCCGAACCTGTTATGAATGAAAAAATCCTTGTTTTTATAAATTTCTGTTGCATTAGTTCTTATTTTACTACAAGCTTTCGTCTGTTCCTACAGACATCTTCAGGTATGGAATAGATGTTGTTCTTGTTTTTACTCTCAGTAATAACAGGACAACGAAAATATATGTATTGTGGTATCCCAAAAATGCTATTAGAAATGAGTTATTGTTTTTGGAGCGTGCAGTAGCAACGCTGAGTTTGATTTTAAATTTTACAGTTGTGCGTTCTTGGACAAATATATATATATGTGTGTGTGTATGTGTGTGTGTGTGTGCGTCAGGGACGTACCCTGCCTACCCTGAATTAAATACATCAGAAGCTACATTTTCCTTCCATGACACACCATGAACCGAATCCAACAAAATTATGAAGTTTTCTCCGATTATTATGCAGAAAATGCTAAATCTGTTTTGTAGATTGGCTACATAAAGGTCGTAAGCTACCTACCTTAACTAATTACTAACGGCATGTGCTTGTGAAATTTTCAGGTGCAGTACAGGCTGGCGATGGATTAACCGCCGTCTAAATTACGCAAAAATGAAAATAACAATGACATCTCATTTTAACAGATGTATTTAACAAAATTACACAAGAATATCTTGAAATACTAAAGAGGAAATTCATTCAATAAAATTGCCATTGGCTTCAATCATGGCCTCCAGACGACTTCAGTATCTCCTGCATCGCTCCTGAACGTTCTCCTTGTTTAATTTGGTGAATACAGCTATAATCCTAGCCTTAAATTTAATTTTGGTGTTACAAGGAGTTTTGTCGGTCTCCCACTCAGCTGCTCTCCACACATAAGAATCAACGTTGTTGCAGTCCGGGAGTTAGGTAGCCAGATGTAAAGGGTAATGTGGTCATAGAAATTGTCTGACAGCCATGACTGGGATCTTCTGCTTGTACGGCATGGTGCAGAGTCCTCTTGTCAGACATAGGTTCTTCCAGTAGCCACCCTCTTGATCCAAGACAGTACTACCTCCTCAAGGCACTTGATATCGGCCTCCGTGTTGAGTCTGAGGTCCTCACTAACAGTTTCACGAGTTCTTTTTTTTATCAAAACGATCAGAGCGAGTTTCCCGCTTAGCCGAATCTTCGTAATCACCATTAGACTCATCAAACTCTTTCCGAATCATCTGCACTGATTGACACCCAAATACTTTGAAATGATCTTATTGGAACTTTCGGCGCGAATACCAAGCAGTACAGCATACCGTTTACAATTTTCTGGCTGAGGGAATCGCGTCACCTGTGCTGTTTTTCTTATAGATGGATCCCGACTCACCCTACTATACTGTGCAGTCGACAAAATCAAAAACAAACAACGCGCATGCGTGAAATTAAAAATATAATATGGCGACAATTTGCTCATGGTACCCTGTAAACATACGAGGTCAATTCCGGAAGTTTTTACAATTTTTCAGGGGATACACTTATTAATTTCAAAGAAGTACAAAACATTAGTCTCCTTCAAAGTAGGATCCTCCCACTCCAATGCACTTGTTGTAATGTTCCAGTCTCTCCGGAGAAGATCTCATGAATGTCATCCAAAAGGATGACATGACACATTATCTTTCCAATGTCTTCAAAACGAATACCCTGGAGATCTTCTGCTTGGGGAACATGAAAAACCCCAGGGAGTATGTATGGAATATAGGGAAGGCGGAGGGCCGTTTTGATGCCCCTCTCTGTCCACACAAAATTTTATTGCACAGTGAGCTTCCAAATTATCTTCACGTCCCGACTGACTCCAGAAAATCGAGGGAACTGCGAAACTCAGCGTTTGTAGAGTGTGTTCAAAGTGCTCTTATTGACGTTTCTTTCTATCTGTAATAACAAAAAGTTGGCATGGCAGATTTTTAGATGTATATTAATGATATACTAACATTAAAATAATCTAGAACAGTTACAATTGCTTCTCTTAAAAACTAAAAAGCTAAGTTTCTGGAATGCATCAGTATATCTATCTATCTATATATATATATTTCCTCGACCAATTCCAGTAGATTTTAGAAAGTACTCATTACCTAATCCTTATACACGCATACATACATATATATATATAAGTTGTCAATAGATAGATAGATAGATAGATATACATAAATATATATATATATATAGATAGATAGATATATATATATATATATATATATATATATATATATATATATATATATATATATATATATATGTGTGTGTGTGTGTGTGTGTGTGTGTGTGTGTCAATAGATAGATAGATAGATAGATAGATAGATAGATAGATAGATAGATAGATAGATAGATAGATAGATAGATAGATTTCGAAGAGGATAGAATCCAGGTAGAGCTTGATATCAGGACAAAGTAAAAATAATATAATAAAGGCTCAAACACTAATATTCCATAATTTTTGAATTTATTACATTGGAATCATAA